AACCTCTTCTATAGAAGAGGTTCCACAAATCTACAGTGCCATTTAGAACTGGTTCCAGCTCCCTCCCCCTGCCCGTCCAGACATCATCAAGATGAAGAGCGAGAGGAGGAATTCTGGGAGTTGAAGTCCACAAGTCTTAAAGCTGTCAAGTTTGAACACCCCTGGGTTTTTTTTCTAAAGGGTTAGGGGTGCAAGGGTCTTGTAACTTGACAGCTTTAAGACTTGTGTGCTTCAAATGCCAGTTTCTGAGCCAACATTTTGGTTGCTAAGCAAGAGCGTTGTTAAGTGAGTTTCACCATCCACCCAGTCACATGGCCAGCAAGCCACTCCCACAAAGCAGGCCACACCTACAGAAGAGGTTGTAAAAAAAATGAAACCCACCACTGGTTCCCGCACACGTGGAGACCAGCTGGCCAGCGCACCAGAACCCGGAAGACCAATGGGCAACAGCTCATGTGCCCAGAGAGATGGCTCTGCCTGCCACTTTCGGCATGCATGCCATAGGTTGGCCATCATAGCCCTATACCATTTCAGACAAATTATTATCCAATCTCTTCTTAAAAACCTCCAGTGTTGGAGCATCTACAGCCTCTGGAGGCAAGCTGTTCCACTGATTAATTGTTCTCACTGTTAGGAAATTTCTCCTTAGTTCTAGGTTGCTTCTCTCCTTGGTTACATTCCATGTATTGCTTTTGAATACAACAGAAATGTGGGAAAGAAGTTGTGGCTGGCTTGCCATTCTGTAGTACTCCCATCATAGTATCATCTCTTGTATGGTTTAAAGCAATTTCAAGAATGAGCATTTTAATGTAATGTTCTTGTCCTCATGGGGTAAAGCTGGAAAATATGAGCAACTGAAAGCCTTCCCAAGTTCCCTATGACAGTGGTTCTCAAATATTTTTATCTCGGGACCCCTTTACATAATTAAAAATGATTGAGAGCCCCAACAGCTTTGGTTTATGTGGAAAATATCTGTCAATATTTGCTGTATTAGAAATTAAAACTGAGAAAATGTAGAGTATTTGTTTCACTTCATGCCTTCCCTTGAAAAAAATCTCAGGGACTTCTAGGTTTCTCTAGCCCAAACTTTGAGTACCACTGCCCAAGACTACTTGCTAACTCCTCAAGGTGGAGAAGAGGAGTATGGAGGTGGCCTTGAAGAAGCTATGCAACAGCTGTTACATAAACATGATCCTAGCCTTTAAAGGGAGAAAGAAGTAGGAATGAAACTCCAGATTCAAGGGGTGGAAGAAAGAATCTCTACCTGGCTTTCAAGACTCCTTAATTATACCTGGTAACAATCAAGTAGACTTTCAGTTGTTTATGTGGAATTTATTTCCTGACTTGACCTTCAAAAGTTTGACAGCATGGATGATTCTTGGCTGAAGATCCTTTTGTTACAAAGGGGGAAACTTCTTCCCATTGTCAATGAAATGACAGGACCAAAAAAAGGTAAAAGTGTCCCTGCAGGTTTTTACATTTCTGTAAGCCATTGAGCCAATGATGTCTGAAGATGATTCCATGGTCACGTGGCCAGCATGACATGACAGGGACAAAACTAATAATTAAATAGAGCGATAAAGCTACAGAAAGGAAACTGAGGCTTTCAGCATCATATTAAACTAATTTTATGTAGGCATTCCCTGGCTTCCTTGGGACACTAGGATATAAAAAGATGGTTATGGTTGAATAAGCAATCCAAGTTGCCCAAAGTTTGAGCATTTCTGGCTGCTAATAGATATTTTAATATGTCTGGGCTTGAGATCCGATGAAGGATGAACCTGCCATATCCAGAGTGCTGAATAAAGTCAAAAGATGCATGCAACTGTTGAACATCAACTGTGATTATTTGGTAGCCGAAAGGAAAAGTAGGAACTTGGCACAACACATGTTTTTTTCCATAAGGGTGAACTTTAACAGAAGTCCACAAGTTGCACAGATGAAAGTAATTAATCACATAAATATAGATCCTACGGGGAATGAAAAAAAACAACCATGTAGACTAAAAGGCAGTAGAAAGGTGCTTCTTTTTGTGGTTTACTTTTATCACTTTTGCAGATGCTGAGGCCTTTGAGTTACTTAACTAAAAAAACAAAACCCTGATGCTATCTGAAGTTTAATAAGGTTGAGGAGAGAAGAAACTTAATAGCTGCAGTTCCAATACAGGAAACCATTCTTGAACAGTGTATCACTGATCCCTTGGAATCATGACAAGCATGCTCATCATCTAGAACACAAGTATCAAACTTGATGTGTCATGTTGCTGTGACATATTATGATTTTTTTCCCTTCGCGGAGCTGTGGTGGGCGTGGCCTGCGCATGACACCCCTGATTCTAGAAGACCACTTGAGAACCTTTAATAAAGCTAATCTTGATTAGGGATGGGGGCATCCAGTAGGAGGCATGATACCTGAAGAAAACATGTAGTCAACAGATAATATCACCTATCAAATTTTCCCAATCTGGTGCCTCCAAGTGTGCTGGACTTGATTCCACCAGTTCACACAGTTTCAAAATTGAAAAGCCTAATGTTTAAGGATACCAAATTAGAGAAATCTGACCTACTTAGTTTAACATTACCCTCAGCATGGAACTAGAACAATGTCTGGAGACAATGAGATTATGTTACTAGCAAATTTTCTAACTTTGGCCTAGACTGTAAATGAATTCAGAACTGGCTTACAAAGAGAGAATGAAGGTCAAATGGTAAGGGAGATGTAGTGCACTCAGCAAGTTATATTCTTGCAAAAGAACCATAGTAATAGAAGGGATTCCTTACCGTTAGCTGCCTGGGTACAACTGCAATGCTGACTCGACGCCGAGCTGAGCCCTGGAATGCAAAGAAGTTTGATTAGCATGCCTAAAGTTTGGGATTGGCTGTTACGGGGATGATATTTCCCTTAAGGCTATACCTGTCTCCTTTCCTCAATCTGTAACAGTTCATTTTCCAGGGACAATATGATAGAGTTCACAAACCATGCTAGATTACTGCGTAATCACAGTTTAATATAAACATGCACATATCTGAATCTCTCTAAACTCTGGTTTACAAATCACAGTGCATGGTTTCACCCAATACCTATAGTCAAAACTAAGCAATAAATGTGGAGATGAAATACAATGAGATCCTTGAGCTCATCAAGAGTTGAAAGACCAAGCTTGGCCCTGCTGAACTACAGGACAATAATTTCAGCTTTCTTTCTCTGGAGGTGATGAAGCTCAATGACTGGGCTAGCTGCCTTTGGTAACCCTGCCACCATCTCTTCTAAAGCAATGATTCTCCATAGAAGCAGCTGAGAACTACTCCCTACCCACAACCCTAATCTTCCTTACCTGCTGAAAAAATCGCGCTAAGGGATATTTCAGTTTCTGCTCACCATCATCTATGAGACAAAAATATTTTTTAATGGGAAGGACCATAACTCAGAGCTCAACTACATGTTTTTCAATTCAAACATGTGCTGGATTCCACCTGTGGTATCTTCAGGAAGAGTTGGGAAACTTCAGTGTATAAAACTCTAGAAAATCAGGTAGATTGAATATGATTTGACATTCCTCAGTAGATTATGTTCCAGTTGGGTCAATAAGGGGCATATAATAATGCTGCATAATTCACTCACAGCAAACTAGTGTCTTAAGGCAACCTTAAAAATTTTTCTGAAATGGATAGTCGTGATTACTGAATCTGAATAATTAGAAAATGCTTATTTTATAATGTGGGACAAAGGGAGCTTTTGTATGTTGAACAGACTGTTATTTGATAATGTCAAGAATGGCACTTGTGAAAAACATGGAAGGAATATCAGTATTTAGAGTCCTCATTAGCCAAACTTAGAGGCAGGCCCAAGACAAAAATCTTGAAAAGATTGGTTTGGGAATGTCTCTCAGGGTAGCTTGCCAGTAAAATTATTTGAAACTAACTTTTGTATGGTTCATGTGTGTGTGACATAAATATTAATTACACTGGGGAAATCAACTGAAGTGTGTTTTTTTGTCTTTTCATTGACAGAGCTATATAAAAACAATTCTAGATGTAAGACTACATGAAATGCATTCAAAAAATGTAATTGCATCAGCTTGGGAAAGAGCGAGAGAAAAATCAAATGGTTAGGATTTATTTAGCCCTTCCCTCTCTTGCTGCATTCCTGTAGAAAAGCTGCTTCTTTGTAGCTAAGTTAAAGGAGAAATTATCAATCAACCAAAGGCAGAAATTATTGCCAAAGCGAATACTATATTCATTCTGTAGCACACACAAAAAGGTGAAACTCCATCAGAATGTTCTAATTGCTAGAGCTCTTTCTTGATGCTTAAGTTTTGATCCTTTATTTGTTTCATTGATAGGAGACACATATTTATTTTCATTTATTAAATTTCTACGTGGCCCACTTCCCCTACAAGGTGAAATATGGGCATATGTCAGGGCTTGGTTTCAAAATCCTTTAATCAGCTTGCATAACTTTAAGAGGTAGGAAAGCTTCTTTCCAAGGGAAAACAGGTCAGAGCTAAACAAACCTTCTTAATATTTTCCCTCTCAGATGGACTACCACATTAAAGAGACCTTCAAGTCAATTAAGAAACAGCTTGGCTCCTGCAGATAATGCATAGATTTTCTCAGAGATCTCTGTGAGGTGGGAGGTTTCCACAAAGTCAAGGTGGCAACCATGACCACACAAGCCATGAATTAGCAAAGAGGCAGAACTTCTACTAAACAGTCTTCAGTGATGTTTTGACCTACTGGACACACTTCGCTCATTAACACCTCTGATTTTCAGTTGTGAGAGCAGAACTAGAAAAGGGTTGGACTTTTTTTTTTAAAAAAAAAAACCCTCCCGCTTATTTAAAATACAGGTGGTTCAATACAAAGCTTTTCACCATTGTGGAACCTGTTGATATATGATTAAGAAACAAGGATTCTTCTAACTCATTTGGTGTTTTTTTTAATGATATGAAGCCTGAAACAGATAAAAACAAATATTTTCCACACTTCTCCTGAGAATTCAAGCAAGTGTTCATAAGTGCTACTCTTACACCAAACATTTATTCCTCTGTACACACCAGCTGTTTCATTGTCTTATATTTCCATCCCAGGCTTTTTTTCTAAGGAGCCAGGAGAACAATTCCTAGTCACAAAGTGGACAACTTTGAGGATAGACACAGTGGATGCTTAATAATGAAAGATAGTAGGCATTGTATTAAATTGTTTCATGCTTCAAAATAGGGTTCCAAGAAACAGATTGGGGTCTCATGTGGGCCTGGGGCCTCAGGATGCCCAGAGACCCAATCTTACCCTTGTTTTCAGTTAACTGCCAGTTTCGGGAATTCTGCTGGATCAGCCTCTTCATATCCTCTAACTCTGCATGCTCCCTCAGGTGATGCCGTTTGAGGTTCTCCACATGTTGCACCATCAGTTCTGCAGCTCGACTCATGCGGGCCTCCTGCAGGAAGGACAGGAAGGTGTGAATGAATCCAAGGAGGGGAGTAATAAAGGAAACTATGACCAAGCCAGCCCAACCTTCTTCAAGGATATCAGTGAACAGGTTTGCCTGCTTCAACCCTATATTTTTCGAATTGTGCAGATCCTTCATTGAGTAATGACCATCGCCATAGGATAGTCAATGATTAATTGAGCCCATGAACCTTATGACTAATATTTTGCATTGGGATGGATTTCCATGCCTTGCTGGATGGCTGATTTTTAGACTTTAAGGGAGATCAAACCTGGTTAGTGAAAGACGACAGCAGCAAAGCACTTTTATATTGATATAAGAAAGTGACATGAATCACATAGCAATTAAGCTTCTCAAATGATATTTTTTACCTTTTATAGTATTTTCCAGAGGCTCACTATACTACATTTTGCTAAGTCTGCCATATAAAGGCATATTGCAGGAAGCAGAGTGATGGTGACTTGCCTAAAATCATTTAAGGAGAATGAATAAAGGACCAAGTTTTGCATTGGAGACTTCCTAGTCCTGGGACAGCATTAGATTCTCTGTTCAATTTTATTTCATCTAATTTGGTTTCAAATGTTACCTATCATATAAAAATATCCAGTGGCTAAGTTATATGCAAATTGGGTTATTATTTTCCTACATGTAACACCATTACATAAAAAATATGTGAGCAGGATTCTAAGATTCTAACCTTCTACAAATGCTCCTTATTATCAAATATATTAAAACTGTGTTTTAATATAATTAAAGCCAATTATTTCACTTCTTTCCTGAACTGTTCCCTGTGCTACCAACATACTAGAACAGATTCCATGATTTTGCAAATTTTTAATAAAAATAAAACTACCCTTAAGAAATCCTGATTAAATGTATAGAGTTTGCCAACTAACACTGTTTTTTACTTGTTTTATCTCAAGCTCATCCTAACATTTCCCATTTTGTACCAGGGATCTCCCCACCTTTTTTATTATATGCCAAAAAGTTATTTACAACTCCTAGTAACCATCTAAACCTAATTTCTCCATGATTAATTACAGATAGTCCTCAACTTACAACCAATTTTAGTTACCAAATTCAAAGTTACAATGGCATCGAAAAAGTGAACTACAACTGGTCCTTGCACTTATCACCCATGGTCATATGATCAAAATTTGGGTACTTGGAAACCAGCATGAATTTACAATGCTTTCAGTGTCCCAGCATCATGTGATAGCCATCTGTGACTTTCCTATCCAGCTTCGAACAGGCAAAGTAAATGGGGGGAGGTTGATTCACTCAACAACTGCATAACTTATTTAACAATAAAACTAGTGATTTGCTTAAGAACATGGCAGAAAAAGGTCACAATTGGGCATGACTTACTTAATAACTGCCTTGTTTAACAGTGAAAATTGTGGTTGAGATTACTAATATTGTTATTGTGAATTGGATTAATATGAATGATACCCAGAACCAACTCTGTTCACCCCCAATATAAATGTATAACTTAAAACAATGACAATTGTAGTCATGGGTCAAGGACTACACATATATCTAACCTGGTGTCAGACACAAAGGCTCAAGGCCATATGTTAAGTTGTCAGACTACCCCAAGTTTAGTAACTGTCCTTCCAATGATCCCATAAGATGGTAGTTGTTGATATCAGTAGCAATCTACTCACCTTTCCAATAATTCAGAGTTTAAATAACAGAAATAATAAAACTACAGTGTTACCTGATGGACAGCTCCTAATTTCTCTGCAGCACCTGTTGCCCTTTCAATTGTCCTTGTCAGAATTGCTAGGCTGTTCTGTAAATGTTCAACCAGTTCCTTATGCCTGGGGTCCGAACAGGCCTGATCCAACTTCTGGAGGAATAAAACAGACATTCTGAATGAACTGAAATAATGACTAATTGGACTTATTGACTAGACTTCATAAATAAGACAATTCTCAGGACTGGATCAATTCATTATACATGCAATGCAATGCAAGAAAAATTGGCCCAATTTCCTTCAGAAACCTTTATGTGCAACTTGCTCAATGATAGTAACACATTGTTTTAACTGCACATGGTTCACGATAAAATCAGAAAGGCATTCTATTTATGGTTTAGCCGTTAATGAAAAGGATAGGAAAAATGCAATGTCTGAATCCATCTCAATCTCTGCTGGTCCTCTCCCTTTTGAGATTTTGGAAGCCCAATGCTATTGATGGCTCTAAATTACCATCCTTTAGAATGCAAAAGAAATGATCAAAAGACTCCAGAAAATTACTTCACTTGCCTGCAACACTGCCTGACATTCTGCCAACTCTTCTTGAATATTCTCTTCTGCTGTGTTCCGGGCTCGTTCTTCTATCTGTACTCGCTGTCTCAGGGTAAACATATCGCAGCGTAAAGCCAAGGCTAAATGCGCAAAAGCTGCCTGCCAAAAAAAGGAAGATCATCCAAATTGTACTTCTGATGGAATAATATTGATTAATGGAATATGATTGATCAATCACATTCCATATTTTTCAAAATCCTTTGGGGGAAACTATTAATGAATAGACCCTAAGTCAAATGTTCTAATTTTCTCTAGGAAACAGAAAAGATAGTGTAAAATCTTTGGACTTTTATCAGTTTCTTATCAGCAATCAAGTTTCAAGAGAAAGTCAAGATGTTGTGCATATGTATCTATGTATTTGTATTTCTGTGTTAAACTAGCATGAAATTCATCCATGCTGTAACAGAAAGACAGAAACCAGTTGCTATAATGGTCAAAGGCTCTCAGCTTTGAGATGCGAGGTCCAGTTCTGTCTTTGGCACAAAGTCCAGTTGTGGGCCATTCTTTTTCAATATTAGGAAGAAGGCAATGCAAATCACTTCTGAAAATGTTGTCCCAAAAACCCAACGCCCCCTTTTTTTTTTCATAAGACAACTGGACTTCCTTGGTTTTTCTCCTTTGAACATGTTTAGCTTCTCATCCAAGAAGATTCTTCAGTTCTTGGTTGAGAAACAAAATGTTTTCAAAGGAAAAGAACCAAGAAGGTCTAGTTACCCTTTGAGGAGGAAAAAGAACATTTGGGGCAATCATGACCTGAATCTCCATAGACGTTGCCCCAAAAACTGCATGGACCTGTTTGGGCAATTTGCCAGGAACTTTGACTGACTAAAAGACACTGATATGAAATGTCACCTTTCATGATGACCTGGTCATCTTAAATTATATTAATTGTTTCAGACAGTTTCCCAGGACTCATATCCTTTAACTAAGAAAACAGTGGTGCCTCCCAAGCAATAACGTATTATTGTTTCGTTGTTGGGAAATTGAAATACAAATGTTTCATTTCCCTGCTGAAAAATGTCTAGTGTCACATGCATTTATCCATTGTATGCTTTCTAGTGACACTGTAATACAATGAAAAAGGAATATAAATCACTTGAGTCCTCTGGTACATAGAAAATTTGCCAACCCAGCCAATGTTATTATGGAAGTTGAACTTAAGGCTACAATTATGCAAACATCTTTGATGAAGGAAAATGTTCATCACTAAGGACAATACTCGGGGGTGGGCTTCAAAACTTACAGCAAGAGGTTCTCTGCCCAGTTGCTGGGTGGGCATAGCCTAGTTGGCCTCCTCCACCACAGGAGGGGGTGGGCATTTTCACCTTTCCCAGACTCCAGAGGTTTTCCTTGAGGGCAAAAACTGCCTCTCCTGTGCTCCGGAGGCACTCCAGAGGCCAGAAACAGGCCTGTTTCTGGCTTTCTGAAACTTCCAGAAAGCTCATTTCCCTCCTCCCGGAGCCTCTGCACGGGCCCTGCACTTATCTTGCATCCAAAATGGGCCGTGCGCAAAGTCCTGGGAGAGGTGGGGCAGGGTGGGAGGGGCAAGGTGGGCAGGGCAGGGATGGGATTTGGAGTTTCTCTGAACTGCCCATAATGTTAGCTACAAGTTCTCCTGAACCTGGGCGAATCTGTAGTAGCCCACCCCTGAGTCAATACTGTAGTAGATAGATGTAGATGAGCCTCAGAACAAATAATGTTCTACAGGTTAGAAAAAGAAGACTCCAAGCTAGACAAGAAGCCAATTATTTTAGAACAACTATCTCAATAAGCATCAGAATATCTTCTGAAAAAGCTAATATGCTATGAATTAGAAAGAATTCAGCTGCATGGACAACAACACTTACCTCCACATCTTGCTCTGTCAGAGATGCCCTGCAAGGAAAATACAAAATCATACACAGTAGATATTACTAATATCTGATATTAGTGATCTGGCAAAGGTCAAACAACTTAGCAGAGGAAAGGTTCTGTAGCTTCCAACCTGAATAACTTCACCCATGAAGCTGGAGAGAATGCAGAAAGACATCCCCCACTATTGCAACCTTGATCTCTGATTTACAGAACCTGTGAGCAAACATATTCAGATTGGTATAGTTCAGAGGGATGTTAAGTGCAAGACGTAACTCAAATATACAAGGGGAAATACCTTGTAAATGATATGGAAAGATTATTTATAATAATTGATACTGATTTCAGAAATGTTGTTGCTAAGGTTGGTACAAGCAATTAAAGGTAAAGGTAAAAGTCCCCCTTGCACATATGTGCTAGTTGCTCCCAACTCTAGTGGGCAGTGCTCATCTCTGTTTCAAAGCCGAAGAGCCAGCGCTGTCCAAAGACGTCTCCATGGTCATTTCACCAGCATGAATAAACATTTAAGGTGCATAGAACGCTGTTACCTTCCCACCAAAGGTTGTCCCTATTTTTTCTATTTGCATTTTTACATCCTTTCGAACTGCTATGTTGGTAAAAGCTGGGACAAGTAAGGGGAGCACACTCTGTTATGCGGTGCTAGGGATTCAAACTGCTGAACTGCCGACCTTTCTGATCAACAAGCTCAGCGTCTTACCCATTGAGCCACTGCATCCCACAATTATTGGAGTTCAATTGTGTTTGTTTGGATTTTAAGGCCATTTTAAAGCCATCTAGGAATTACTGGCTTATTTTAGAGAGCTTTCCCCACTCACAAAAAAAACAGATAAGCAAGAAGGCCTATGAAAGAGTTCTGTCAGACATGTGGACGGCTCTTACCTATGCAGGCCCAGCCTCTGAAGCACAGAAACCTCCACTTGTGAAGTGTTCAATTCATCTTCAGAAGAATCTGATTCTAGATAAGAAAAGTTTAACAAATAAAGTGGAAACAACACAAATTAGGAACAGATTAGAAAAAAAAATAAAGACATTTAGTCATCCCTTGAGATTATTTTGCCAAAAATTTTACTGCAAAGGTATGGCAGACCAGTAACTGCAGACTGTTCAAAACCACTTGAAATGTAAGTTACATTCCTGATAAAACAATTTGCCCTAACAGTTCGTGGCCATTTGTTTTTACACAGATTACAGTAGAAATCATTCAGATAGGGCATTAAACTGGATCCTTTTTTCTAGGCTAAATAGTCATTCTACACAGTCTCAGAACATGAATATGGGGTTTGCTTATTTCAATAGAAATTTCAATATATTGCAGCACTCATAATTCTAGAGATGCACGCTTGAAGAAAATTCCTGATGACTATAAAAATGGAGAAAATGCTAATCTTTTGGAGATGGAAAAATTGGAATTGGGGAAGAAAAGGAAGTCAACTAGTAATTCCTGGAAGGTTAGGAGCATAAATTAAATAGATATACAAAAGAGAAAACAAAATTGGAAGAAACAAAATGAAAGGTAGGGAACTGTAGAAAACAAATGGAGGGTGGTGAATTCTGAAAGATATTTGAATATGAAATAAAAATAAGGAGGGGGGGAGAAAATTTGGACCATATGGAAGGGCAACAATGCAAAGAAAGGAGAACACAAGATAAATCTAGCACTCATTGACCAACCTTCATAGCTGTCACCACTATCTTTGAAACACACTGCTTGGACTCTGCTCCTCTTTGCCAGCTCTTGGGATCCCACCGCAGAAAGCTGCAAAGGAACTAGTGTAGTTACAACCAAGTAACAGAAATCTACACACACATTCATTCCTCAACATGGATTAGATCCTCTTAGGGAAATAGAGTTAACTTGGAAAGAAGTACCATGATACCACCCCACAGCAGAGTGGGCTGTTATATGAATAACACCAGCTGAAGAGAAAACCTTCCTTCATACTTTTTTCATTTAGAACATTGGTTTTGTTTCAAGCCTCACATCATGTTATATTAAAGTAAAAGAGATTCTAATTGAATAATATGTTCCAATAAAGTTTTCTCCACCCTGGTATTCTCCATATACATCTTGGATTACGACTCTCAGAATGCCCAGTCAGCCCATCTCCAAGATACCGAACTGAAGGAACATGTTTTGGAAAATACTCTGATGACAATGCATACAGTTCTAAAACCAAAGCTAAGCCATTCGGCCTGATCAATTCCTAGCACTAAAAGCTGGGAAGCCCCTCTTGAAAAAAGGCAGCAATTGTAAAACCATTCCAGTCTTACTTACTTTGGCTTTGCCATCAGAGTTTTGGCTTCTTTCATTCACCATTCTTTCTGATTCTCCTTCGGAAGTGGCCATTGTTTCTGAAGGAACAAATACAGAAACATACTCTTCTCTTCTTGCATCTATTGTGTTCACGAGAAAATTTCCCATTCAACCTAAACCCAAAATTTGACAACAGGAATGGCATCATCATTTTGGGCATCTTAGGAACAAGATCTGGATGCTAGAGGACTCAGAATAGAAAATGGGAGAAGTAGCAGGTCCTGACATTTCTCCTTGCTAAGTGGGTTCCTTCCAGAAGGAACAATATGAGTTCTACTATGCAAGTCAAAGATGAGTTATCAGAGTACTTTGGGCCTTTGTTCAGAGAATTGACAATGATGATGGGAGAATAGGCTGACAATACATGTATTCTAAAGCAAGTAGAAAATCTTAGTTCAGCTATCTCCTATCTAATGTTTTTGAAACATTTTTTTGAAGTTGGGGTCTGGGCTCCCAGAAATTCCACCTGTTGCAGAGATGGCAGCATAGTGTTCTTGAGACTTGATCACAGAAGAGTAATCACACAACTGACAGATAAATATATTGAATCCACAAAATATTTTTATTTGAAGCAAAGACATATTGAAACAGCAGTAACTTTGTAGCACCACTTGTGAAACTCTATTTGCAGGGGTAACCAACCATGGCAATTTTAAAACTGGGGAATTCTGGGATTTGAAGTCCACAAGTCTTAAGATTGGCACAATTGGACACCCCTGCTGTAGAGGAATACAGAGATGACCTTGGTGAAGGAACAGATGAGCCTTGAAGGGAAGGCAAATTACAATTCAGTCCTGATAAAGTGGAAAGCATGAGAAAGAGACTCACAATAACCCTGTCTTAGTTTCATTTGGTATAAGATGGGACAGAGAGAAACGCTGACAAGTTTTCAAGGTTCTGTTATTAAATCCTACTGTGATAAAGTAGCTTTCCTGGGATCCTTTTGGTCTCTGTTTCCTGACTTAGCCTAGCTCAAAGCAATGACATAACCTTCCATCTAGCATGGAGAATGTCCAAATCAGTTTTAGCCAAGTGATCAGAGCAAGGCCTTCTGGTGTGAATCTAATGCCTAAGCATAGTACATAAAATTGTGTGCTACAACATCCAACTCTCAACGATTACTTCAGCTTCAACCTCAATAATACATGGGCAAACAATAGATACAAACTCAAGGTAAACCGCTCAAAACTCTATTGTAGAAAATATGACTTCAGCAACAGAGTGGTCAACGCCTGGAATGCTTTACCTGACTCCATTGTTAAATCCTCAAACCCCCACAGCTTCAACCTCAAACTGTCTACCGTGGACCTCACCCCATTCCTAAAAGGTCCGTAAAGGAGGTGTGCATAAGAGCACCAACGTGCCTTCCATTCCTGTCCTACTGTCTCCATTTAATTGTACTCATTTCCTTTGTTCACCCCCATGTTTATACTTATATCTGTTATCTTGTACATGTTTGACAAACTAACTAACTAAAATAAATAAATGAACATGCTGTACACGGGGCAGAGGAATAAACAAGGAGGGGTGCTGTTGTTAAAGTGGCAGAGAAAAAACAGCCACTGCATCCAGAATAGATTGTGGCATTATACTGGATCTGTTGCAACTGAGAAATGTTCCAGTGATAGGCCAGAATAGAAGGAAATAAGAATGAAAAGAAAATGTGGGAGCCAGAGTGGGTTGTGTTCTTTCTCCCTTTTAATAGGAGCCAGAAGGGTTCTCTAAGTCCTAGACTTGTGACTGTTCCATTAGATGCAGGGGCATTTGCTTTCTTTGAGATAGTTACATCTGTTGAAAGCTGCTAACTTTGTGTAGTGAAGACCTACCAGCCACTAACGATACCAAGCTCTGATTAATCTTAATAGATCACATAAGGCTAGCAGCCCATAAAATTAGGAGACAGCCCCCTTCCCTACCCCAAGGCTGGTCGTTACTCCATCCAATCCATGCCCAAGCTGCTTACCGGCATCCAAAGACAGCACAGGTCCATCCAGATCTCCCAAATGCTGTATCTGCATTTCTCTGCTGAAAGGATAATTAGGCTTGATTAATTACTATGAAGCTTGACCGGCTCCTTAATGAAATGAGCGACCAGTTCCCCAGTTGAGTGTGTAAGTGAAAATTGTATGAAGATTGTCACTCCAGGAGGGATAACCTTGGAATATCTGGCAGGGTGTGTGGTCAGAGGGGGCTGCTTCTGACTGAACCCTCTTCTGCAGTGTGATCTAATCATATGGAGTGCAGTAGGTATCCTTCAATCCTTCTTTCCCGCCTAAGCCTCACCATCTCCACAGGCACCGCTTGGCATGGAATCAGCTATTTTACCTCTGCAGAAGCCTGCCATTCTCTTTGCTGGATCAGGCTGGCAGCCAACACTGCAGTCTGCTGTGCCTTTTGCCTCCCTGGTAAATAAACTGAAGGGAACTCCCTGTAAATGTATTCCCCCAAAATCTGTGAGTCACAGAATCACAGAAAATCATCACATTTTAACCCTGCTAACAGCTTCCCAAGCTGACTCTCTTGTCTAATTCAGGAAGGAGGAAAAAGAATTTTTAAAAATCTACAAGGCCATCTGCTGGGGAAGGCTCAGAACTGAGTGGAAAGAATAAGCAAGGAATTGAGTGCAGTGGAATACTAATGGTAAAATTTATCAATTACCGGTAAAAACAAGACATGCCATTGAGTATGTTTATTGCTCAGTACAGTTACCTATGATTTGGAAATCAAATGTTTTTGACTCTATTCTTGGTTCAGCTCGAGAGGGACTACAAATCCCAACATGCTAAGAATGTTGGGAATTATAGTTCAAACATATTCCAGAGGCTACCAACTGGAGGAAGAAAAGTATTGCGAGTTTGCATTGTGGATATGCCACAAGATTCTTCCATTCTCTTTTTCACACAGCTATCCAAGCATGACACTATCAGAGGTGGGATTCAGCCAGTTCTGTCAGTTTTGGGCAAACCAGTAGTGGTGGCTGTAGGAGGTTCTGCCCATCTGCCCCGACCTAATGCGCCAGCACTGCACATGTGCAGAAGGTCATGCGCATGTGCAGATGAGGCATGTGCACTCACAGTTGCAAACTGGTAGGAAAGGCAAGTGAATCGCACCTTTGGACACCATGTAAACTACAGTGAACTTGGCTCAATTAGACAACTTGCAGTGTAATGTGCCATGCAAACTCTGAATAGAATTGATTCATATGTAAGTAAATGATCTACGAAGTCATTGTATAACTAGAATTTCTGATGTTGCATCTCCAGATTAATCTTGAAGCCATCTTTGTAGAGGTTCGAGTGAAAAAGAAAACACTGTTTGTTGTTATCTAAGAGTGTACTCCAGAACAGAATAGGACAATTCACCGCAGCCAACTCATCATGGCCAATTTGCCATTTGACAACTAGCTGCAGGAACAATTTAATAATCCAATTTAATTATTTAAAATAATTTGAAAATTATTTTAGTTTTTGTCATTCACATTTCATTTTCTCCCTCCTTTGGCATCCTTTCTTTAATGATTTAAGGAGCCGTGGCAGCACAATGGTTAGAATGCCGTATTGCAGGCTAAGCAGTTTGATTCTCACTGGCTCAAGGTTGATGTAGCTTCCCATCCTTCCAAAGTGGGTAAAATAAGGACCCAGATTGTTGGGGGCCATATGCTGACTCTGTAAACAGCTTAGAGAGCGGTGTAGAGCACTGGGAAGTGGCATATGTCTAAGTGCTATTGCTATTCTATTCCACTATTTCCTCAATATTAGTGTAACTCTATTTCCTGCAGTGAGTTGTCACATAATGTTTATGTTTATGTTTATTAACATTTATAGGCCGCCCTTTTCCCTGAGGGGACTCAGGGCGGCTTACATAAAATGGGGGAGTTGCCCATGGCAAGTTGTCCTGTAGCAAGTTGGCCACAGATAGTTAGCTGCGGCAAGTTGTGCAGATTTTGTTTGCCCTTTTATAAGCAGCTTCTTTTGTCATTCTGTATCATTCCCCCACCCCTGCTGCCCTTGCAAAACTATAACATTTAATATTTACATTTGGTAATAAAACAAACAGGGGACAGAATCTAAATCAAACTTTCTTAATGAAATTGGGGGAAGAACTGTGGGGAAGAGTGGTCCTCTGTCTAGCACTTCTATAGTCTAAACAGCTCATGCCATTACCAAGGTTTCTACTCCAAATAGCTCTTGAAATCCAGAAAGAAAAAGTAAAAGGGTCTGATACTGCTCAGCTTATTAACATAGAGTCATTAGAGCAGTGGTGGGTTCCGGATCCCGTTCCAACCGTTACGGTTGGAACAGGCTCGGAATCGCCCACATGGACACTCGCAGCGTGCGCATGTGTTGCAACTGCCAGCAACGCTTTTGCAAGCCTCCGAGACACTCCAGCTGCTCGGCAGAGCGTCGCACAGGCACTGTACGCACCATGCACATGTGCATAAGTGCCAAAGGCTTTAAAGGACAGGTAAGGAGCTCGGGCGGGCAGGTGAGCCCTCCAGAGCACCATACCGGAACGGTACCCGATGCTCCGGGCAGACTTTGGTACGCCCTTACCGGGGCGTACCACCTGCAACCCACCACTGCATTGAAGTCATTGGAGCTAAAACTGCTCCACTTCAACATAATTTCTGGGAGAACAATGAGTATCCCACAAGTGGTTATATCCCCCGCCCTTCCCACAACTCCATTGACATGAGTCCTCTACAAAATCCACTTCCACCAGAAGGTCAGAGAAGTTAGGATTACTTTTTATATCTTCTTATTATTTGAAAAGACATTATTTAGGATTACTTTTTATCTACCTATTATTTGAAAAGACATTATTTTCAAAGGCGGCAACTTTATCTTAGGAGGAGGAGGTCCCTTCCACTTTATCTGTGGAAGCTCCCAGGCTGGCATCTTCAGGCAGGGTTGCCAATAAGTACAGATAGTCCTCAATTTATAACAGTTCATTTAGTGACTGTTCAAAGTTACAACAGCATTGAAAAAAAGTGACCATTTTTCAAACTTATGGCAGCTGCAGCATCCCCATTCACTTAACAACCGTGTAACTAACTTAACCTCTACAATGATTCCCTTAACAACTATGGCAAGAAAGGTCATAAAATGGGGCAAAACTCACTGAATATATGTCTAGCTTATTATATTGCAATATTATATTGCAATAGGAACAGAAATTTGGGGCTGCGTTGTAGTCATAAGTTGAGGATTTAATTTGTCTTAATAAGACAAATGATAGACGAGATGAAATGAATAGTCTACACAGAATGTAGTTTCCTAATAGACAGTAAATTTGCACTTATTACAAGTGCAAAAAGAATCGAATCGAATAAAATATATATTCTATATATTAGACTACATTAAAATATCATAACTTGTTTTGTTTAGGAGAAGAATAGGCAAAATAACCAAGAAAGGGGACAAGAATGTATGTGGAGACATTATTTATTTCTGGCCATTTTTTGTGAAATACTTCAGGTGGAGGAATATCAGCAAGCCTAACATCAATTCATAGATACTGATGGTGAGATGGGTTCAGTGAGCTACATTGACAAACAGCTCTGCAGACTACATTCAGTTCAGCGCTGATCCACGGAGAAAAGAGAAGTATTTGGGGCCTCCCAACAGAAAACTGCCATCACCTGGAAACTATCCAAAACTGCCTCAACATCAGAGCTTCCCTACATGGCAATTTATTACAGGGCAACAGCTTGACATGCAAATCAGGTCATCGTGCGCAGACAATTTTGGAGCTTTGAAAATGCAGAAGAAATGCTGTAGGGCTTAAGCAACTAGATAAACACAGAAGCCAGATGAAACAAGAGTTGAAATATAAGAATGCAGAGGGCTACATGGAAAAGGGGGAAATGCTTTAAGACAAAGTGAAAGCACTAGGGCAGTTGGGAGTAAATACATTTTTTTAAAAGCCAGTAAGGTTGATATGCAATGAAAATTCATGTTTATTTCATAATAGGAAAATATTTTCATTCCATTTTTCCCATGTGCTGCATAGTTTAACAACTCATAAACTATGAGATGCAACAGAAACAGCCATCAACATCTTAATTTGTGCCCCTATTTGGAGGCCAAATAGTCCTAGTATCCGAAGCAGCACGGAGGAGAGACCAACAGGAACTCCTTTGGTTTCAGATTAAATTGAGAAGTAAAAAAAAAAAATATTCTGGAAGAAGGCAATGGTAAATTATTTCCATATTGTTGCTGCAACACAGAGGCATCCATGAAGTCACATAGTCAAGCTCAACTGCAAGAAGACTCTATATTGTTTATTGTTGTCCTACTCAGTTTATATTTATATTGTTGCCCTACTCAGCACATACCTCAGGGAGCTGTAATCAGTACAGGGAGTCTTCAGGTTACAATGGCAATTGGGTTGGAAATTGCCATTGCTAAGAGACTCTATAAAGTGCAATTTCACATGTCTGAGTCACTTAGTGATGGCAGTTTTGGCAATCCCAAGTTGCCATTGTTAAGGATGAGCGAGAACCTCATATGACTGTGACTTCCAGGTTCCTGCTGGCTTTCCCATTAACCTTCCTTGTGGGAAGCTGGCAGAGAACATTAGAAACCACAATTATGTGACTGCAGGGGCGCTGCAGTGGCTGGAACTCTGAGGACTGATTGTAAGTGCCCCTCATTTAGCACTGTTGTGAGTTAAAATGGTTGCTGAATCAATGAACACAGGTGGAGAACTATCTGTGTCAGTAAAATCAATAGAAAACACATAATGGAACAAAATATAAAGAATAATTCAAACATTAAAAGCCAAATCCAGAGTGCTGAAGGAAAAAAAAATCATGCAATGGGTCGTACATTCTCAGAAACAAGGAGGAGGGAAGGAGGATGTCATAACATGCAGTCTCGATACTCCGAGACTGCCGTTGACACTTTTGCCACTGGACGGTCCATTGAGACCTAAACTGTCCCATAGAGATGGTGATCAGGAAGATGAAGCCTTGCATGATTTTTTTTT